TATTGTCTTAAATGATTACCCATTTTCACCACAACTGGCGCGGCGTGGTTGATAAATCTCCAAGGAACTCACGGGTCCAAAAAATTCGGAAATCTATGTTCTTCCATTGGCTAGCGGTTTTTTGTGCAACTGATCTCAATCCCTACCATAAAATGAGCTGAGTATTCGGGACTGCGACAGAACAAATGAGGATTTCTTGATTTTATTTACTTATTCGTTGTTAATGCTCCGCTTTCTCGAGTGTATTCTGAACGATGCAATAATTTTTAGATGTTACAAATTTGAAAATCTATAAATGTTTAAATTCAGGAAAAAAGGCCATACTCATGAATAATGCCCATAAGTCTGGCATAAACTAGCAATAAATTCCCTTTCAAAGAGCAACCTCAGTTCAAATTGGTGTGACAGCGATTGATAATGATTGGTGGAGAGGACGTGTCTGCACGAGTTTTTTGAACGCAACCGCATCTACGCGATGAGCTATTATATCTACCTACCTATGGGCTATCTTATCTGCTACGTCGTAAGCCACGTTGGACGAGTATACGGTTTCCGGCGAGGTATCTCGTCCGTAAGTTCACATTAGCCGCCATCAGATCACTTTGTAAGGCCCTAGCGCCATTGTCGCGCACTTTCGAGCCGCGACAACGGCATCTGTGATACTCGTGGATTACTCTATCCCACCCACAGAACAGATTCTTCGACACGACCTCACCTGGGGGTTGCTGCTTTAACGAGAAGGCTACTTTCCGTAAGCAGAGTGTAGAAGTAGTTGCGAAACATTCATCTTCTACTATATTATAGTTCAGCTGCTTATGTTGGCCCTTTTGAGTAGAGATACCTCTTTGGAAAGGACTTAACTAAAGATGACAACGCGCTATCGGTTCTACAAATTGGCGGGTCGTAGAATGGGAGCATTCCTTATAATAACATCTTGATTTCGAGAAGAACGTTGAATGTAAATTTTCCACAGCATTTGGATGATTTTTGAATCGGCTACACCAAATATTGGATATAGTACGAGACAAAATACATCTTGAACAACTTATACACAATTAGAACAAACAATTCCACCAGAGTTCTCCTTCCATGAGCCTTTTGGTTTTTAACGGAACGGCTCCTACGGGAACAATCGCAATGAACAGCGCATACTCAGCGGACAATTTAGAGAAGCTAGTGCATTCTTTCTTCCAATGCTGATTCTAACCCACATCCCGAAACCAACCCTAAAAGCCAAACCCCAATATGGTGATTTTTGAACACTCCGTTAGCTTTTTTTTCCACAGGAAAGATTAGTTGACTCATCGCCGTATAACACTAGCCGCTTCAGTAGAGAAGTGTTAGTGTTAAACAGGTAGCACCGATGAGACTCCCCCGACACTTCGCCTTCAATGCAATACAAAGTGTCATTTTCAGTAATATTGATGCACAATAAAAAGTTCAGAAACGGGAAATGCATTGCGAAAGGGACGACCTAGAAAGTCAGCGATCCGCATTATTTTTGAGCAAAATCACAAATGCTGAAAAAAGAAGGGTTGTGAGATGTACCACGCGTATTGTTTTGATACTTACTAGGGCTCGCGTCATTGAAATTGTCGCTCACAACACGAAACTATGTGATGTGGTTGATAGGCTCCTCTTGTTCTGTGCTTTAGTTTGCCTGTGAATTCAGCTAGCCCCCATCTTGCAGGTAAGGAGTACCCGTAGTCACGCACCATGCGCCCTGTCAAAAGTCCAAGGCCTGCCTAGCTCTCATTATCCACTAGGTCTCTTGACACCGAATGGAATGTAGTCTAGTTACTGCGATCGATCAGGAAAATCGCACTGAACAGTTCAAGCAAATATAATCAGACATTGTCAGATGTTCAGTCAAGAGGAACTAGTAGCGGCAATGCGCTCCTGTGATGTACAGGGTGGGGCAAAATTACTGGTGCACCTATACGTTTTGAATTTTTTAACACTTCTTGT